CCCTAGCTATATTAAGATAACTCTTATATTTAGAAATATTGCCAATTGGCCATAAATAAAAAGCATATTCCACAATTCTATCATTGATAAAGAAAACAAAGACGAATATTTTAAAAATAGATTGCTTGCCCAGCAAACAAGACAAATCTTGATTGAAAAAAAGATAGAAAAGCTCGCAATGGAGCTTGTTAAAGAAGAAATTATTTCTGAGTTTATGATTTTGGAATTAATATGCACGGTCACAATCACAACCATAATGTTATAATATCGGTATATAATTTTTCTCTATTCTGTCTTTGTTGTAACTTGTAACATATGTTTGTTTCATGCTATAGAATTCTCTAGAAAACAGAGTAGTTATTATGAACGTCTCCTCAAGTCTGACCGTCAGAGTGACTATGGTGATTGTTGTTGTTTTTCACTTGCTGATTTGTGATTGGTCCTTTGCTCTTAGAGAAGAGCGCAATTAAAACGTAAGACTTCAAAGTTTTAGTGTATTTCTTTTCCAAGAAGTCTTGGAAAACAAAAGCAAAAGAAAATAATTTTTTTGACCGTCTAGGTTTTCTATATAAACCGTTTAACCTTAATAATATCCAATTCATATGCTATAAGTATGGCAAAACAGACAAACAAAGAGCGTTTCTGTGGCGGATTTGCGAAGGTTTTGAAAGAACAACGACGTGTCGATGTACGACTAAAGGCAGGTGACAGTGACAAAAGCTCAGCTATCTCTGCCCATAAGCTTGTTCTGGTCTCTACTTCTTCTTCTCTATTAATTTGTCCTTTTGTATTGTTAATGTTCTTTCATTGACATAAATATGGAATCTTTATAGTCTGCAAGATCAGAGGTGTTTACGAAGATGTTTGAATCCGACAAGTGCAAGGCTTCGTCTTATTTGGAGACAATCACTTGAAAATGTAACAGCTACTACTAAAGAGATTACTGCAGATACTAGTACAGGAAACGAACACAATACACAAAGGATTTTTCTTCAAAACACTTTAGTAGATCGAATGATTCATGCACTTACAAGTTTCACTCACACTTCAATCCTACCTTCACACGTTCAATCCTAGCCTCACACGTTCACAAGTCACACATGATCTTGTGAACCATTCTCTACCCCTTAGCCCCTTGATTCAAGATCTCCTTTTTGGTAGACAAGCTTGAATCCCTTTTGCTAAGACATAAGCTCTAATTGTGTTAATTTATCCCCAAGTTAACTCTAACCTATTTATACCCAATAGGCAAACGGCCAGACCTAGTCTTGGTCCCTACTCCACGCAAGATATTGATTTCTTCAAATCTTCGTGAGTATATTCTCCTTCCTTATTCTTAGCACAAGATAAGGAAGGTCTTCAAACTTGGATCCTCTCCAAGTATATCTTCTTAGATCCTATCCAAGAATATCCTCTAGCTTAGATGCGTCACCTTGGGCTCTAAGCTAGCTTCACACGTCCAGTTCAACCCATCTCTTTGAGCCCACATCGCTTTAAGCCCAACAAGTCTGCTCGTACAACTTCTGTAGTACTCCACGACTGGTACAGGTCACTTGGTACAGGTCACTTGCTACAGGTCACTGTTACAACAGCTACATCTTCAATCTCCCCTTTTTTAGCTTTGTATCTC